TTGCAGTAAATCAACTTGCCTAAGGCCACAGTTAGTAATGGAGCCAGAGTAAGACCCTCTATCTTTTATATCCAAATCTGTTCTTCTACAATGCACAGACCGACACCTTCCTTTATGACATACAAATCATCTCTTATTATCTCCAAAATAAACTGATTCACAAGTTGACCTGGAGTGCTTCTCTTCCTAACTAATACAATACTGATTATAAATGCCAGACAGCAGGCTCAAATGGGACATTTAAAAAATTTCCAGAACTACGAACCACATGGGTGATGCCCAACTTCATCACACACCACCCACTGAGATGGGTTCCGAGGTCACAAGATAAAGGTTTCTTGCTCTGCCACTGGAGTCCCCGGTACTTCAAAAACACATAACACTTGTTTTCTTACTCTTTAACCTCTTCTCTTTTGAAAACAGGTCAGGGGATTTCCTTTCTGGCAATACTGTGATGTCTGCCAGGTACACGACCGAGAGACTGCCAAGGCGAGGGAGGGCAGTTTGCTACAAGCCCAGCTCTGTCCCAGGACAGTGAACGGCCTCGAGAGCCCTTCACACAGCACAGGCATGGCCAGGTCTGCCCGCACCGGCCCCGTGTCCAGTAGGCACTGGGGTCAGCAGCCCACACTTCCTTGGCAAAGGGCTTTTCTTTGACTAAACAGCTGCTACCAGGGCACCCCGGCCCTGCCACTATCGCCACCTCCTGTGTTCATGGTCTCGGCTGCCTGCCTCTCCTTTTCAGGTTACACTCAGCCCACCAGCTTATGCTTTTCCTTGCACTCTGCAAGCTGGATCTCTACAGCTACTGCTGGTTTTTCTGCCAGATCTCTCTCTGAACACTGTGAAGACTATCAGAGATGCTCCCGCCAGTGTCCTGCAGGAACACCTTCCTGGCACTAACTCTGAAGATAGGTGGCATATTTTAGAGTAAGAAGTTCCAGGAACTTTCACAGAGATGATTGCTGCAAGAAGAGATTTAGGCTGGAGGGATCCCCAGACTATGTCCAGGCCTCCTGAGTAGCTGAGACTACTAGCACCCACCACAATACCTAGCTAAATTTTCTATTTTTAGTAGAGACAGGGTCTCACTCTTGCTCAGGCTGGTCTCAAACTCCAGAGCTCAAGCCATCCACCCTCCTCAGCCTCCCAGAGAGCTGGGACTACAGGCATGAGCCACTGCATCCAGGCACAATGGCACAATATTTTAATTATCTTTCTCAACCATCTTCTACTTTTAGCTAAAATTCCTATGAAATCGACTTGTATGTGCTGAGGCACTTACTACTCTCCAACGGCACAGTCTCGCTCCTCTTAGTCACATAACCTGGGAAAACGGGACACAGGAGCCAAGAGATGAGAGCAAAGCTAAGTGAAGGGAGGAACACGAATCCTGAGTCTCGATTTCTGTCTGCCTTCCTGCTGATTCTCACACACGGCCCGTTACCACCCTGTCCATGAGCCATTGGCCGCCACCTGAATCCCTGAGTACTAACTCCCGAGGAGGCCTGCCAGCTCCTGCTGACAGGTCTCTCTGCACACGTCCCCTCCGTCCCCTCCGGGTCCCCTCCATGTGACACATCCCTCCCCTGCTCGCTCTCCCACACGCCGCCATTCCTTTCCTTTCTCTGACACTGCCATACATCACTCCTCTTCAATCCATTCTAACCTCACTTACTGAAAAATTCTGAGTCAGAGAATATGAGAACTGCTTGCTGTCTTAGAGAAAAACTTACTGTGTGTCGAAGTCATTTATTTCATGTGTGGTGGTGGGGACAGGGTCTTGTTCTCTCACCTGGGCCACAGCACAGTGGCTTCATCACGGCTCACTGCAACCTCCAAATCCTGGGCTCAAGTGATCCTCCTGCCTCAGCATCCCAAGTAGCTGAGACTGTCAGTGTTACTACGCCTGGTTCATTTTTCTATTTTTAGCAGAGACGGGGTCTTGCTCTTGCTCACACTGGTCTTGAACTGCTATGTTCAAGTAGTCCTTCCATTTTGGCCTCCCAATCATTACTAATCCTTTTAAAATGCAGATTATGGCACACCTCTTGGGTGCGGACACAACTACAAGTGGGACTCCATCTAACAAAGGCAAACGTTGTAACCTAGTTGTCTGCACCCTCACATGAAATTTAAAAACAAATAAATAAATAAAAAGCAGATTATAACTAATTACTCTGATACCATCCATTATTTATAAGGGGAATTTAAAGGAAAATTCTTTACTAAACTATTCTGAGAGCAGCTATGAGAATCAGTTGTCTTGCTAATTATTCTTCTCTGACGTCTCATGGCCATCCTACTTGCTGACCGTAATACAAAGCTACTATGAAGTCACCCACCCAGAATGGCTACTGGACACTCTCCAGGGCTCTTTTCAGATGTGCTAAACAAATCAAATGACAACTTACCATGAACTTTGTTTCTCCCTTTGACAGGGTGTCTGTGATAAAAAGGACCTTCTGTAACTGCTCCACAACACGATGCAACAGCTTTGGCTGTAGAATCGTAATTCAGGAAGGAGAAAAAGAGCAATTTACTCTGTTGCAGCAAGAAAACATTATTATTTTTTTTTTAAAGATGGGGCCTTGCTCAGGCTGGAGTGCAGTAGCTATTAACAGACTCCATCTTAGAGCACTACAACCTCAAACTCCTGGGCTCATGTGATCTTCCCACTTCATCCTCTTAAGTAGCTAGGACTACACTGTGTCCATCTAAGAAAATAATTCTTTAAAGCGTTGTTTATTTTTTAGAGATGTGGTCTTGCCTTGATCAGGCGGGAGTGCAGTGATACAATTGTCCTTTACTGCAGCCTCAAACTCCTGGGCTCAAGTGATCTTCCTGCCTCAGTTTCCCATGCAGCTAGGACTATAGGCATGTACCATCACACCTGGCTAATTTTCTTTTTTTTTTTGAGACAGAGTCTCACTATGTCACCCTCACTAGAGTGCTGTGCCATCACAGCTCACAGTAATCTCAAACTCTTGGGCTTAAGTGATTCTCTTGCCTCAGCCTCCCAAGTAGCTGGGACTACAGGTGCCTGCCACAACGCCCGGCTATTTTCTTGTTGCTGTTGGTCTGGGCCGGGCTCAAACCCACCAGCCTGGGTGCACGTGGCTGGCTGCATAATCACTGTGCTACAGATGCCGAGCCACACTTGGCTAATCTGTAATTTTTTTTGTTGTTAAGAGATAGAGTCTCACTATGTTGCCTAGGCTGGTCTCAAATTCAAGCGATTTTTCCCACCTTGGCCTCCTAAAATGCAGTGCCAGGATTATGGGCACGAGCCACCATACCCATCCCTAAGAAAACATTTTAAGACGAGTTTTCTGATTATCTATGAGAAATCCCTACTCTTTCTAATGTTCTAAGTTCCTTTTCCTTCTAACAGAAAATTTATCATCTTATCAAACAAAACTTATTTTTAAAAACCTCTGCTTTTACCAATAACATGATACCCTAAAACAAACATCATGTGTGTTTATGTTTCATCAAATAAAAGAATTAGCTTTAAAGGCATATATTCCAAAATCCAATACACTTCATGGGTTTTCTAACAGAGGGAAGGTCTCTTGATACTTTATTTTTTAATAGAAAAATATTTGTTTAATGAAAACCTGAATAGTAAGCTGAATATTTCTAGAATAGCTATGATAGACCGTAAATAATTCTGAGAATATTTTGTTAAATTTCATCTCTTTCAAATGTTATATTGTTCTCTCAACACCTCAAGGAGAAACAAGGTGTAACCCTTTCAATGTCTTACTCTGCCTTTCACAGAACTTAGTTGGTACAAAATACTTCAGCTGACTTTTCAGAAAGATTAAAACAAAACTTATTCTGGACATATCCAACTATCATTTATAAAATGATATTAACTGCTACATAAGACGGATCACATTTGATTATAAATTCTGAGGTACCTGCTTAGGTGATTCTGAAGTAAAGCTCGGATGGGTCAGGAGAACATCCATGTCACCACTGGACTCTGCACCTGGAACAGAAGAATCCGTGTGGAATTCTCCACGTCAGCGGCTCTGGCCGACAGGGCCGTGTTGGTGGCACACACAGGAGCCTCCCTTCCTGTACCCTAACACCCTGTGTCTCTGAGCTTCACACTCAGAATCAGTTAGAGTTTGATTTTCCGTCCAACTATTCAGGTATATTGGTGCAGAATCTGGGGTAACAGCAGTAATTGGCATTAGAAATATATTGTATACAACTGGTTAATTTATTGCATTGAAATGCACCAAAATAACTACTCAATAACGAATAAAAACAACATTTAAAATTAGCTTTAAAATTCACCTATGGGAACAACTCTCTATCTGAAATTAAACAGTATACTCTAAACTCTGTACAAGTTAGTCAGAAAACTTATTTTAATTCTTAAGACTGAAATTATTTAATAAATTGTAATAAAAATTACTATTATAGTATCATGAATAACAACACAGCACCTTATAATGACTTACAACCACATCGCTTCTGGCAACTTATTAAATATTCAGTTCTTTAAACATTTCTTTCATTATATTCCATGAAATTCTGTCTCCACTTAGATGGATTACTTTTCACTTTAATTGCCTTTTATTTTCAGTATTGCAGATAAGGACCGACTCCACATTCCTCCAGAATTTAGCTTTCTTGTCTATAAACTACTAAAAACCATTGCATGAGCTTCAGTAGCTTCATAAGCTACTGTGCAGCTAGGTAAGAACACAAGAGCTTCATAAGCTACTGTGCAGCTAGGTAAGAACACAAGAGCTTCATAAGCTACTG